TAAGATATTAGTTCTCTTCAAGTTGATCTATAGATTAAACACAGTCCCAAAGAAAATCTTTGTAGGCTTTTAATTTTTCTAATAGAAATTGACACATTGGCTCTAAAATTCACATATAAATACAAAAGACCTAGAATTGCCAAAGCAGCTTTGAAAAAACAGTTAGATGTCTGATTTCAAATTATAATAATCAAGGCAGTGTGGTGTTGGCATTTAGACAACCAACAAAACAGAATACAGCATCTAAAAACTGACCCACATATATGTGGACAACTAATCTTCAACAAGCATGCAAAGGCAATTTGGAGAAACGATTATCTTTTAGACAAATGGTCCTAGAGCAATTGGATATCCATCTACAAAAAAGTGAACTTCAACCCACACCTTGCTCCATAAACAAAATTTAACTCAGAATATATCACAGATCTAAATGTAAAATCTAAAGCTATAAATCTTCTAGAAGAGAATATAGAAGAAAATCTTTTGTGACTTTTCAATAAGCAAAGAATTCTTAGATGAACAAATTAGACTTTATCAAAATTTAAAACTTGTGCTCTTTGAAACAGAATGTTAGGAAAATAAAAAGACATCACACTCAGACAAAATATTTGCAAATCATGTATCTGATAAAGGACATAAATGTAGAATATATAAAGAACTCGCAAAGCTCAGTAATGAAAACTGACCCAGTATAAAAATGAGAAACATATTTGAACAGACACTTCACCACTGAAAATACACAAATGGCAAAGAAGCACAAGAAAATATGATCATCATTAGTTGTTAGGAAAGTGCAAACTAAAACCACAATGAAATTACCATTACACACCCATTAGTTTGGCTAAAATTGAAAAGAGTGAAGTGTTTGTACAAGTCTCAGAATTTATCAAATTGAACACTGTGCATTTTTTTGTATGCCAACCATACTACAATAAAAATAAATTAAAAACCATCATTGCTATCTGACCACCATTGTTAATACATCTAAGACTAGTTCCTAAATTTGCTGGGTCTTAAGACCCAGTTAGGACTCTAGCCAAAAATACTGAGTTCTAGGCTTCAGAATTATTAGGATGGGACTGGGGAATCTGTAATTTCAACAAACACCTCAGATGATTCTTCTCATTAATCAAGCTTGGAAAGTACTTGAGCACTTTGGTCATCTGAATCCATTGCTGTCTGTGAGGAAGGGATATTGTTAACATCCATGTGGTATTAATAGAAAGGCCTAGCCATGGACACCTGATTGTGCTCTTACTGTGGTCAGATGAGATCATTTAGAATTGACAGAATTCTTTTCACATCATTATATAGTATTTTGAGGTCAGGCTTACATTATAAATTCCTGAATTCTGAAATCAGAAACTTGTATTGTTTATTAGGAGAAATGCTACAACAGAATGGAAATCTAAGGCCCCAACATTAGTTAACATTACATTAAAGATTAAAAAATGATTTTATATACTTCTTGTCAAGTCACATTAGTATATGTTGTTAGTGAAAAAAATGTCTTATATCCTATAAAGAAACTATAATATAAGAAGGTGGGAGAAGAAGAAGAAGAAGATGAATAAAAACACTGTTCTGTAAATGTTCCTTAAATGGACATAGCAGCAGCCTTCATAAAACTCTGGAAAAAAATCTGTTTGACTTTACTGCTTCCTTTCCAGTGACGTCAATCAAAAGGAAATTATAGAATAAGTCTGTCTAATTTTAAATGGTTAAGTTATTGGAAGAGTTTAGAGACCAAGTTTTCCACAAATCATCTTTGTGCTATTTGGTTTTGATTTTTTTTTTAAGGGGTGGTGAGCCAACATGTAATTAATCACTTTTTGCTGGCATTTAAGGAAATGAAACTGCAGTGTACCCTTTGGCATTATTGTTCTCTTTTTTTTTGGTGTTTGTTAATGTTGTAATATGTACTGTGAGAACCTTAGGTGGATGCTTAGCGATAATAATGTGGACAAAACAATGTAAAAGAAGTAATTTTTTAAAGTCAACTTATACACATCATAGTGTTATGGCACCTATATACACCCCAGGTCTTAGATACTGCCAGGATTACTGTGAAAATCCTGTACAGTCAGAAGTTGTTAGCGTGTAAATCCCTTGTTAGTGGATGGAGTTATTCCCTGTGTAGCAGTATCCACTTGTTACAAATTCCCATTGTTTGTTCCTCCAACATCTAGTTTGGATTGATGATTCATTTTTCACAGCTACCGCCACAGTAAGAATAGATCCATCTCATCTCATAAAGAAGGGGTGGGAACACCCAACTTGTTCCACTTCTTTGGGCTCTGTTCCATCTGTGTAATGAACTACCTTTGGAAGTTGGATTAATTTAAAAAAAATTAAGCATTACATTTACTAATCACTGTAATCATTAAAAGTTCATGTAAGGTAAAGTTTTAAGATAGACAAATATCCAGCTGTAATCCTGTACCTTCCTTTAACCTATATTAACTTGAAATCATTTTTCCATTTTTAAGCTGAATGGAATCTTCCCCTTAAACCAGTAGATTATGAGAAATGCCAGTAAGCACAGCCTGTCTGGAGATTTTAAAACTACATCCATCTCCATCCGTTCCCTGCCTCTCCCCTCCTCCTAAAGCACAGACATCGGGGATGAGCAGTGCTCCGCTCTTTGGTCACTGTTAATGAAAAAGATACTAGTATTTAGGCTAATGTTGGCCTCAAAATGAGTTGGGAGGTGTTCCCTCCTGTGTTTTCTGGAAGAGTTGATGTAGGACTGTGTTGTGAATTGAGGAAGAAGTAAGGGAGGAGGAGGATTCTTCCCTGCAGGTTTTCAGAGGGAGCAAAGTCCTGCCAACACCTTGATTGTGGACTTTTAGCCTCTAAAACTGTGAGACAATAAAAACTGTTATTGAAGTCACCCAGTCTGTGGTACTTTGTTATGGCAGTGCTAGAAACTCTAATACAAATTTGTATTACTTTTTTCTTTCAAGTTTGATAGAATTCAACTAGTGAAACTGTTTGGATGAAGTTTCCTTTGTGGAAGATTTTTAGTTATGAAATCAATTTCTTTAATATTTATAGGGCTGTGTAGATTTCTGTTTGCTCTTGTGTCTGTTTTGGTAATATGTATTTCGAGGAATTTATTTCATCTGAGTTCATAAATTTATTGGTATAAAGTTGAGTTGTTAATATTTTTTGCTGTAATGATATTCCCTTTCATTCCTGATATTGCTCATTTGTGTCTTTTTATTTTCTTTGATCAGTATAACTTAGGGGTTCTCACCTGGGCAGTTTCGTCTCCCTTGCCAGGGGACATTTGAAGGTATTTTCAGTTACCACAATTGGGACGTCTAGTGGGTGGAGGCTGGGGCTGCTGCTACACATCCTACAACATACAAGGCAGCCTTTCACAGCAAAGAATCGTCCAGCCCACAATGTCAGTAGTGCTGAGGTTGAAAAACCTGTCTTAGGGCTTACAGTGTACACCTTCTCTTGTCAAATAATGTTATACCACTTCATGTTTAATATAAGCAGTTTACAAAATAGTATTTCCACTCATCATTCCCTTTCATCCTTTGTGCTGGGGAAATACATTTTTCTTTTAGGTATATTATAAACCCTGTAATACATTGTTACTCAGTTTGCACAATCTATTAAGGAATTTTTGAAATGAGGACAGAATACCTAGTTGTTACTTATGCCAGCACTCTTCATCCTTTGTGTAGATCCAGATTTCCATCTCAGCTGTTGTTTGTCTGAAAAGTTAAGTATTTTGCCCTCATTTTTGGAGTATATTTTGCCTTGGCATAAAATTCTCCATTGACAGTTTTAAAGATACTCTAAAAGATATTCCATTGCTTTCTTGTTTGCATAGATTGTAAGAAATAAAACTGTTTCTCACTAATATAGGGCTTTTAAAAAATGTATATTTTAGGGAGTATTTCTGAATTTTGTTAGTATTAAAAATAACTTAAAATTTAGTACATTGTGCTTTGATTTTGTAAACAGACTTGTTTTTTAACTTTTTTTCCTCTTCTCCCATTTTTTTCTCTTTCACTCATTAAAAAATGGGTTTTTGGGCAAGTTGCTTCGGTCAACCTGTTTCCTCACCTGTAAAATCGGGATACCAGTGGTTCTCACAGGTTTGTAGTGAAAATTAAAGGAGATAAAGGATGTAAAATGTCTAGAACTTGTAGGGACTCATAGAGTGACACCACTGTACACAGGGATCCTCTCCATCCAGCTGCAGCTGTTCAGACTCGCGATTCACGAGCAGCAGCAGATCCCTGCACTGAGTCCTTCATAACCATCTGGCAGCAACTCTGTGGAGACATGTTATGTGCTGTGCACATGCTCCTGATGAGCCGCAGTGCAGCCAGGGCTGGGCCAAAGTGGCAAGTCCTGGTTGGACCGCTGCCTACAGTTTTTGCTCCTACCAGAAAGAAGTCCACATGTCGATTTTAAATAAATCTGGTCTTTTACTTGAGCAAGGTTGGAAGATAACTTTCTCAGGCTACTTTTCATCCATTAATTTAGGTTATTTGAATATAGTAAAAATCCATGACATTTATATTTTACATAATTTGCATATTCCACTTTTTCAGACTCTCTTCCCTCCAGTTAGGCTTAAGTTGTATTCACTTTCTACTTCTTAGTTATGCAGACTAGCTACAGCTTTCAAATTAATACATTTTCATATTTGGAAAACCTTAGACATAATTAACTTTTAGGTTGTGGGGTTTTTAATCAACAGTTTTTTTTTTTCCATTGGAACTAATTATACCTTAGAGTATCCAATAATGACATTGACATTCAATGATGCATTAAAGGATGCGTTTATTAAAATGCTTTCTGTCCCAGCAGAAAAACTAACGAGGTATGGTAGGCTGCTTTTCCTGGATAATACTCTGCTTACCTCAAGAGTTGTTGCTATTTTGGATCTACACCCAGCCTCCGGCAGCAGCACTCCTGACAGCTGTTTTAACCATCTCCTCACCTCACTGCGTTGTTGCTCCTCTTCTCAGTGGGCCTTTGGAGTGACGCTGTGGGAGCTCATGACTCTGGGCCAAACGCCCTATGTGGACATCGACCCCTTTGAGATGGCTGCATACCTGAAAGATGGTTACCGAATAGCCCAGCCAATCAACTGCCCTGATGAACTGTAAGTTTTTCTGAGCTTTGAGATAGGGGTTTTGTTCCACTTACGATATTGGGATAAAAGATAAAGAGCAGGTGTCCATATGCATATAGACTTTCCTTTGGAGAATAATGATTCTTTGGACTTGAGTTAGGCTCTTGTAGAGAACCACACAGGAAGCCAGACTCATTATGCATTTGACATTAGGGGTTTTTGCATCTTATATTTATAGTGCTTAATCCAACCTGAAAGACTAATATACATAGTGAGAAAACACTAAATACTATGTTGGATATTCTATGTAGAGTGAATACCTAACTTTTTTTTATATAATCTTAAGGACACACTTACTTATAAAAAGCCTTTCTTATTGTCACCTTGCCTTGCCAGTTGGTGGCACTTGATGTATAAGGAAGATGTTTTGGGCTAGTTAGTGAGATGAGTCCCTTTCCTGCTTTCATCACATAGCTAATCTTCCCATATAATGGGACTGAGGTGGGCAGGAGGCTATTCAGGGGCAAATGAGTGTGCAGATGAGTGTGGTGTCAGTTTCAGAATCCCCTCTACATCATGACAAGGTGGCAGCTTTTGCTGTGATTGTACTATACATACATGGTTTTTAGAGGTTAGATAAACCTTCCTTTGCCTACAAGTTATTTCAGAATTTAAATACAAATAATGCAGGTTATTATTGTGACTGTGTTTTAGATATTTACATCAAGTCTGAATTTGCTGATATATGTTGATAATGTCATGAAGAATTGAAATCCACACATAAAATCCAGATAACTCATTTTAGCTTCTTTTCATTTTAGAACTGCCAACAGATAGTAATAGTGATTGATTTTTAATATGTCATCCTCTCTACACCCACATTTAGACAAAACCTGACACATCAAATTGACCAAAAGGTTAGGAGTCCTGAATTGTCACTAGACACATTTTACATTTTTGTCACTCTGCAGATTTGCGGTGATGGCCTGTTGCTGGGCCTTAGATCCAGAAGAGAGGCCCAAGTTCCAGCAGCTGGTACAGTGTCTCACAGAGTTCCACGCGGCCCTAGGGGCCTACGTCTGACTCCTCTCCCAGTCCCACGGCATCGGAGCAAGGGGCCTGTTGGGCCTCACTCGGAACCAGTCATGGACACTTTGTACATCATGCAATGCCAGCAGAAGCACATTTGTCTTCCAGAACACTGTGCCTTAGGAGTGCTTTAGGATCTGAACTTTTAAAGACAGACTTAATAATGTGGAATATTTTCTAGCTGTCACTTTTATTAGGTTGAACTGAAAAGTTTTTTGTAAATTTTTTGGCCCAAAATTTTTAAAAACATAGTTACTTTGGACTAGGGGTACATTCATACAAAATAAATGAACAGTTTGTAAAATTGTTTAAACACAGGTATTTGGAATAGCTATCTTAGTGCCAACTGCTTTTTATTTTATAACTTCATCAAGGTAAAGTAGGTGATTCACCTTTAAAGTATTTATCACTAGTCTTGGGAATGGTTTGTCTTCAAGATGCAGTACTTTTCTTAGGAAAAGAAAGATAGCATAAAAAGATGTCTGGTTTTCCTTGTACAGGAAAAGACAAAATTAGATGAAGAAAAGCTAGAGAAAAAAAGAAATAAAAAAATAGTAGAAACAGAAAATTCCCTTTAGTGAAAAACTGCTTCTTTTTTAAATTTTTTTAATGAAAGAGTTCTACTCTCTTATTTTTGGGAAGTTGGGGCTAAGTTCATTGAAACATCTTAAATTTGGCAGAAATTAGCATTTCCGTGAGCCAGAAGTGGGTTTGGGGCAGGTCAGTAATAAACTATGGCAAATTTATTTATTTTTACTCCCTGGAAAAGGAGATAATAGAATTCCAGAAAGTGAAGTCATGTTTTCTAAGGTTAAGAATCTCTTGTACTGCACCTAGAATAGTGCTATGCACAGAGTGGGTGCTTGAGTTGTGGGCAAAAAAAAATGTAAACTGGTCAATTTTGTGCTTATCTTCAAGGCTGGCTTAAGTATAAAATTGTTTTTTTTTAAACACTTGAAAGTTAAAGGCTTTGTTTCATACTATGACAGTATGGGAAATATTGTTCATAACAAATGATTGGTTGTGCCCAGTAAGTCTTTCAACATGCAACAGCTAGATATACGCGTTTTATTTCATTGGTGTTTAACTCAGGCTCCTAAGCCCTAACACGAATTACAGCTGACTGTGTTCAACTTGCAGGTTCTAATAAAAGGTTGGAGTTATTATTACAAGGAAGTACTACAACAATGAAAGTTTTCTCCAAAGCCATAATACTAGAGTCATGTCTGTATTTATACTTGGTTATAGTTAGCCTAACAGAGTCGAATAGAACATCTAAATAGCTAGTCCTTCGGGTGCCTGTCCTCTACTCCCAGCCTTCAAGGTATATAAGGGAGAGTGTTTAGCTGTTGGAGGCTTTTACTCTTCTTGAAGAAGCTTTATGAATCAGCACATCTGGAAAAATAGCTCCCACAGTACATGCTCTACCACAGGTGGGCCAAGAGCAAGATTTTTCTGTGTACCATTTCTTAAGGAATACTCAGCCCCCTGAATGGCCGGTTTTTTAAACGCTCTTTGAACTGCTTGTCAGGTACATATGTTTTTGCCTACAATCTGCAGTCTTAGCAGGCATCAATCAACAAATATTTATTTAGCACTTACTGTGTATTATGCACACAAAGTGGTTCGATTCTAGCACTCTTTCCAACATTCAGTGCATTCTTCTTTGTGTTCAGGTCAGTACATTGTTTTGATATCACAGTTCTATGTATGATCCAAAAGAAAAAGTGCTGACATCTGACTTCTGTCTCAAACTAGTAGGTAATAAGAGGTGCTCTCAGTTTACTGGGATGTGTGGTGCTTTTAACCTTTTCTTTTTGTGTTTGGAAGCTGTCTTATGTATATATTTGTTTTAGTAGGTGATTAAATGTCTAAATTGATTTTTCTTGTTGAGCTACATGGAATCATTGACTTGAACGAAAAGAGCAGTTATAAAATTTCCATGGCTGGTCTTCCTCCAGTGGTTTTGTTGTTGATTGTGCATATTACTGAACAGATTTTGCAGAAGTCTATTAATTTTTAAAGGAAAGAAGCAAACTGACAAAGCACTGATCTGATATTATGGCTCTAGTGACCGTATATCGTGGCCATGAACATGACTGGCTCTAGTGGCCTGTTACAGGCCTAATGCAGAACTTTTTTATATTCTGTCCTTTCTTATAACACCCCATTGTAAGAAAATTTTGTTTGTAGAAGCAAGGAGGATTGGGCTGCCATTCATTATCTATTTATCGAGTGCCCACTGTATTTTTGGCTCTGAATATATGCAGGGAACAAGTCAGATGGGGTTCCTCCCTTTCATGTCTTATATTCTCTTCAAGAGAAGCAGATAATGTACATAACCAAGATTTTGGTAAGTGCTATGAAAAAAATATACAGAGTGTTATCATAGAGAATAACTTTAGGTATAATATTTAGCCAATCTTCTCTGAGCAGGTGGCATTTGATGTGAGATTGGAATGACAAAAGCCAGCCGTGAGAAGATCCAGGCAGATGGGACCTAATTGCAGAGGCCTTAAAGCAGGAACAAGGTGGCCTCCAGTCTTGGCTTTTCCTGTTCATCCTCTAGCTGTTGCTGCTGGAGGAAGAGCACAGAGGCCAGTGTGGCTAGATGTAGTTAGGGAGGGGAGAGTACCAGCTGAGGTCTGGGAGATATGTGAACAGACAGCAGGGCCTTACAAGCCATGGGACACATTCATATTGTATTCCAAATACATGGAATCTCACTCAAAGATATTTTAAGTAACAGAATGACATGACCTGATTTGTCATTTTAAAAAGATTATGCCAACTCTTGTGGAGATTGGATTGTAGGGAGGTAAGGGTAGAAGTAGTGAGACTCTTTAAGAAACTATTTGTAGTTTAGGAGAGAAAAGATAATGGTTTTGGACAAATTTGAGTAGTGTGAAGATTGGAAAGGGCAAATTGAAGATAATATTTTGAAGGTTATAGATAGGGCCTGGATCTGTTGGGTGGTACAGGGTGGGGTGGAACAAGAAAGAGAGTGATCAGGATGGCTAGCTGGTCTGGGGCCCGAGCAACTGCTTGTATGGCCAGACTATATACGGAAATGGAAGAAACCAGGAGGAATAGGATTGTGGCTTGCTGGGGGGATTGAGAAATTTGTTACAGATCATGTTTTAGATGCCGATTTGTTATATAAGTGGAGATTTTGAATAGCTAGATTTAGAGAAGAGGTCTCACTGAACATACATGGAGTGAACCTATAAATATTTGGAATGAACTTTTTTGCATCTTTCTGAGTCTTTTGCCTTTTTGACTCTGAGAATACGCACAGGCTGCTATTAGATAGGCATGCTTCATTACGGACGGCATTTGGCTGCAAGTAAAAGAGATCCAACTCTAATTACTTCCCCCAAATTCATGTATATTTCTCTCCCATAACAAATCCAGAGAGTTAAACCAGGGCTGGTGCAGTGATCCCGGGATATCCATGACCTTATCTCCATTTTTGCTTCTCTGCCATCTTTAAACTGTTTTTGTTCATAAGGATCCCAAGGGCCTATACCTTTAACTAGTTAGGAAGATGGGGAAAGGATGAGAGAGAAAAGATATGAGTTAGTTGAGTTGTTTTTATGAGGACACTGTGTTTTTACTAGCATCTTACTGACCAGAACTGCAGCACATGGATCCTTAGCTATCCAGCATCTTGGGAAATTAGATATTGTTGTTATTTTTTTTAACAGCTTCACTGAGATATAATTCACTTATCATTCATTTAAAGTGTGCAATTTAATGACTTTCAGTATATTCACAGAGTTGTGCACCATCACCACAGTCAAATTCATTTGTACCATCCTGAAAAGAAACCCATACCCATTACCAATCATTCCTAATTTTGTTCCCACCTCTAGCCCGAGGCAACTACTAATCTTTCTATCTCTGGATTCTCTGTTCTCTGGACCTTTCATATAAATGGAGTCATACGATATATGGCCTTTCATATCTGACTTCTTTCACTGAGCATATTGTTTTTGAGGTTCATTCATGTCACATGTGTCAGTATTTCATTCCTTTTTATTGCCAAATATTTGATTATGTGGACATACATTATTCATTCATCAGTTTATGCATATTTGGGGAAATTGAGTTTTCAGTTGAGCACATTCTTACCCTGAGCAAAATAGGGTTTCTGTTGGTAAGGAAGCACCAATTAGCTGTTGATGGGTAACTAGCAGTATCTGTCCTGTGCAAAAAGTTGCATAATGGACTGGAATCTAGTGCCCTTCAGCCATATATTTGATGCTTCAGAAGTTCTGTTGGGTATGGGAGGAAGTGCAGTGACCATGAAGTCTTGGTGAATGTAGGGGGTACCCAGTCGCCTTGTTTGTAGGTTGGTGAACACTGGTCGGCATTACTCCCTGCCCTTTTAGCCTCTGAGTCTGTGTCCAGAACACCCACTGTTCCATTGTGATTGTTACTTTGGCCTCGGTCCTGCTATTTTCCACTAGTCCATAATTCTGCCACCACTTTATGGATTTCAGTTTACAAGGATATTTATGTTCTCAGTATTTGGCCTATAGTGTCTCCCACCAAGTATGTTTCCTGTAGCTTCATGGTCTGACTAGGGCCTTTGAAAGTAAGCCAGAGATTGGCTATATGTCTCCATAAAAACTCCTATTAAAAGGGCTTAAACATTTATTTGTTTATTCATTTAATACTGAATCACATGCATTTATTGGGCTAAATTTATGTGTCTTTAGATTATTTGCATTCATATAAAATTTTATTGATTTTAATTGGAACTATTTGGCCACCACACCACTTAATATACATCTAAGGAATGCCTAAAAGTTGTTCATATAACCTGGAGAACAGGATATGCTTAACTCTCGTGGACTTGAGGAGGAATTGGCTATAGGTTCTGGCTCCAAAAAAGCACTAGAGTTAATAATTTGAATAAAATTCCTCTAACTCTGACTTTCCTCAGGCCAGAATGGATTTGATTTGACCATCATCTCCTCATCGGGAAGTACAGTGTCTTGATAAACCAGTGTTTTAGCCTTTGTGTTGGAATCTCTAGGCCATGTCCCTCCGGCCTTTCCTCCCCACCCCCTTCCCCCACGAGAAAGACCCACAGATGACTTAGCTGACAAGGGCATTTATTTGACCTGACAGGCATGCTTGGCCAGCTAAGCAGACTCTTGTCTAGTGCTAAGTACTCCCTACAGCCCTTCGTGCCTCTTCTGGGAAGTCAGGAAGAGGAAGAGACGGGGGCTGCAGCCTGGTGCTGCCAGGCCTTGCGGAAATCTGGGACTGACTCCACCCTGAGGGCCTTCCCCTGTCTCCTCCGCCCTCTCTGGCCACTTTGGACCTCTTCCCATTCTTTAGCATCTCTTGGTGGCCCGCCTCACCGTCTGCCTCATGTATCATAAGTCCCTCTTAAAAGGAACCTCATTCCTTTTCCACAGGAAGTGACATTTCAAGTACATTTAAACAACATACTAAGACTTGAAGTAAACTATAAAGATTGCTTTTTCCCTCACAGCCACCTTAGCATTGCATCACATTTTATAGCTGAAAGGAAGGTCAATTTACAAAGGAGAAAACTGAATTCAGTGCCACTTCCCAGACACAAAATGAAAAGTAGGCTCTTTCTCATGTTGGTGATTTTTAGGGAGGTGGGTATTCTTTTCCAGGAAGGGGACTTTATTGGCATAGTCACTAAAATGCCAAAATTGTGTATTTTAGTATGTATTTGTTGAATGACTGACCACTGCTTTTATTTTTTAGATCTGTGGGTCGAATTGTTGAAGCACAGTGTTCAAAGCAGAATGGCAAGAGAGAAGAGTCAAGGGGAAATGGATATGTCATGAAGGGCCTAACATATCAAAAGGTTTAGATTTTGTTCTGTAGGTTTTGGAGATGAGTGAAGGGCTTCTATCAGGTAGTGATGTGGGCACACTTATTTTAGCAATGTTAGTGGCATGTGGCCACTGCTTACTGTTTATCAGGCACTGTGCTGTCACTTTGAATGCATCATCTCATATCTTCACAATCCTGTTGAGTATCATTGTCATCACCTCCATTTTAGAATTGAGGAAACGGGGTCAAGATGGGCAGCCCATGGTGGAGCTGTGATTTTAATTGAAGGAATCTGACCAGAGAAGAGAGAAGGGCACCTACATACTGGGATAAGGGGAGAAGATTGCAGGGGTAGGTGGGACATGGTGGGAGACCCTACTTGGTGGTCTCAACCTGTGTAGTGCCATGAGAGACAGTATTATTGGCTGAGAGGGTTTGGATAGAGGCCTGATAAACATGAGAGTTTGAAGCCTTTGCTTAGGGAAATTTGCAAGGGATCTGACCAAGATCAAGTGAAAATGGAACTCAGCTGAGGTTGGAGACAAGGAATTTATGGTGATACCATCCCGACTGGTTATGGCATTTTTCTCCACAAATTTGACAGTAGTAGAATCTGCCGTGAGAAGTAGTGGATTAAATAAGATACTTGTTTCTTTCCTTCTCACATTACAGTCCAAAGGGAGGAAGGTGGCCCGATCTGGTGGAGTGGCTCATTGTCAAATCACTCAGGCCTGTGTCCCTTCTGTCTTGTTCTGCTGTTCCGTGTGCTGTGCTGACAGAGCTGCATGGCCAAAAGCTGGGTCTCTGCCACCTCAGGGTTTCAGCTCCTGAAAGGGGTACGAGCAGAGGTAGAAAGTAAATACTCTCCTTTTAGGTAAGAGAGAAGTTTGTACACATCACTCTCCATATTTCATTCATGAAAACTTATACACTGAGCTGCAGGGAAGCCTGGGAGATGGGTCTAGATAGGCACTCGTGTTCCCAACTAAAATTATTTTACTATGGAAGAAGAGGAGAATCAATCTGAAGACCAGGTAGCAGTGCTGACTGGGGGGATTGATTTAGGACTGGACATTTTCTGGACAGTTGTGAGGATGGAAGTATGAGTAACTCTAGGCTGTTGCTGGGGTCTGGTTCAGGTGGTCAGCTGTGAGCTCCAGTGTGGCAAGGTAGGTAGGCCCACTGGTTATCAAAGGCCTGGAAGCCCTGAGTCTAGGAGGTTACAGAGTAGATGTGAGACAAAAGGAGAAAATGGTTAGACTTACGGTTAGTGGAGGATATGGGATTGGGTCTACAGGTGGCTTAGTTCTGGGGGATGACAAGACTTCCGGGGAACCGTGGGTTTGGGAAGCTGACATAGTGAGATGGAGGTCTCCAGAGTCGAGGTGGTCACAGAGCAGGATCGGTGTTACTGCACTGCGCTCAGCCTTCCCATCTTAGCACACAGGACCTTTCAGCATCCGGCACCTAGCTCTCCCCCCCCACACTGTCTCTCTTCCTTTCCTCTCTGCCTGATGTACAGTCAGGTCTTACACACGGAGCCTTCCTGTGCCTTCTTGTGTACCCCTCTTCCCGTGATGGCGCCCCATCACCCACTTCCCTATAATCCAGCTGACCGCCTCCCCCCACGCCGACCCAAACACCACTTCATGTGTCTTCTCCCAAGAGGCTGTCCTTGACCTGTAGCCCTTAAAGTCTCTTTGTTTCTGTCTGGCCACCAGCTGGCTTCCTCCTCTGCAACTTAAGCTTACATATGGCCAGTTTGGCCTTTCTGTCTACTTTTTACAAATATCCGCTACTGACAAAGTGGCTTCTTTGCTTAATTTCATATCAGAATTCTGAGACAGACAATCTGATGGACCCGGCTCATTTTATCTTTTCATACCAGACCGTATATCAGCTGCCACCCCCTGGTCACTTGTGCACCAGAGAACAGAATGGACAGATCTGGCTGCTGATCTACTTGCTCCTCATGGTGCAGAGGCACAGGAAGGACTACAACCCCACCATTGCTTTATCTTCTTACCAGGCCTGGAGTATGGGAGGGGTTTTAGGGAGATTCCAGGTGGCCGCTTTTCCTCACCACTGAAGAACAGTATGTTTATGCTGCACCAAAAGGAATTCGTCCGCTGGGTAAGGATTTGGTCATTGGTGTGTTCATTCATCTCAACAGCAGCTTTGCAGGCCCTGGGAATGGAGAAAGCAAGGAGCCATCCCGTCCTTACAGTCTGGTGGTGGAAAGTGGGGAGGTTAGGACACATAACCAGCTAGTAATGGTGCACTATATGTGGAAGGGAAGGCTCTGAAGCTGTGGATACCCCGACAGTTCCAGCCCCAGGGAGCCTTCCCCAGGGCCTGGTAAGACCTATGAAGCCTGAACACTCGAGGGCCTCTCCAGGCATCTGCAGGCACACAGATAATCCTTAGAGGGACTGGTCCTGTGCTCTGAGTGAAACCTGCCGCAGCCAGTGCCCATGGGGTGGGAATGCGCTAGGGCGTGTGTGTGTGCAGTCTGTGGACATGCATGGCCGTCGTTCACCCGAGGGCCATCGCTTCTGTCCTTCAGTTTGGTTTCCCTATTGGCCCCCGTGGTGTGATGACAGTCTACATCTATGAACCTAAATGCGCCCCTGCCCCTCCAAACCCAGTGGTCAGACCACCCTAGTCCATACCCTGGAGTTGAGCCTCAACTGGACAGTAAGGAAGCTACTTGTGGCACCTGCTGGGATCAGGCTGCCTTCCTCCATTTCCCACCTTCCCATTTTTACCAAAAACTTTTTCCAAGCCCAGCCTTCCTATCCAAGAATCTGTCTTGGAAAACAAATACTCCATTTCCCAGAGGTAAAAACCAAAAATGCCCATCTTGTGGAAAGTTGCATCCTACTACGTCAAGGGGGAGTGCTTGTCTCAGGACTGCAAGGAGTCGGGCCAGGCCTTCAGGCACAGACTACCATGGCTGCCCCCAGGGCAGGAGCTGGGAGAAGGGAGGTCAGGCCTGAGCTGGTCCCAGCCATCTGGACTTCCGCAGCCTCCCCAGAGCTGACTGAGAGACTGCAGCCCTGAACCTTTCGGGGAGGTCCCTGCAGAGGCTGGACATGAGAAGGGTCCCGTCTTGCACTCCCATCCAGCCATCCAGAGGCCCTGCCCCCCCTCCGCCCCCTCTTAGGAAAACAGACCTGCTTTCTTCCCTGAGGTTTCCCAGGCTGGGAGAAAACTCTGGCTGTCACACACCCACCTAGTACGCTTCTTCCTTGGATGTCTGCTATTTGAGTAACAGTGTTCAGTGCCAGTCGATGGGAGAGACCAGCCTGAGCCCCTCTCTTTATCTCACCCCCATACCCAATCTACTGCTTCTGAAACATGTCCCTGCATTCCCCACTTTTCAGTTCATCAGCACCCCACTGGGCCAGGCTCCATCACTCCTGCCTAGGTGACTCCAACCTCTCCAGCTCCTGACCAAGGGCCTGGACCATCTCAGTGGACAAGTGTGGGCAGCCTGATTTTCCAGAACCACTGGAGACCCCAATGGCCTGGGCAGGAGTTCCAGAGAGGAAGCATCACCTCCCTCCCCGGGGAGCTGTAGGGGAGGGGAGGAAGCCTCAGGAAGCAGACCGAGGCCAGGGCGGCCGCCCTAGACAGGACTTTCTGGGCTGGGGCTGGGGGCAGTGAGGAGCATTCTCAGAAGAGAAGCCACGGCCGGCTGGGCTCAGGAGAAAGGGCCAACTCCAGCATGACCTCAGGCTCATTTTCTAGGAGGCAGGCCAGGCCGGGGGCCCTCTCAGAAGCTCAACTCTTCTTAGCTCGGCTAACTGCTGTGGTCCAGTGGCTACTACACAGACTGTCTTCGTCGTCCCCTCCCTCACTTTGACCCTCTGTGCGCCCCTCCCCCGCTCGCTGCAGACGCGCTTCTGACTCAGCCCTAGTCAGATCCCCTTTCTCAAGTCCATCCTGGGCTCCTGGGACATCCCTTCCCTTTCTCACTCCCTCTTGCCAGCACTGCTGTCCCCTCCCACGCGGGGTCCCCTAGGACTGGTTTTGCTTGTGGTCTTCATTCCTGTGATTTTCTCGTCTGTGGTGGCTCCCTCCTCTGTCCATGTGAGCTGGGCCGTGACTTCCCTCCACCCTCCATCAGTGTCTCCCCCGCCTGGTGCCATCACGCTGCTTGGAAGAGCGGGCAGGTCATCCACCCTGGTCCCTCTCTCAGCTTGCTCAGGGTGTCAGCACCCTGTTCTTACTCTCTGGGGCTGTTCCCTCTGCAGGACCGACCCCCAGGGCAGGGCTGCCCAATGCAGTGGCCTTCCTCTGCTCTCATTCTCCCACCCCTGCCAGCCGCATCACCCTGCTCAAAACCCTCCTTTCCCTCAACCTGTCTCTCCTAGACCTTTTCTTCCTCTTATCCTCTGCACAGGCTTCATCTCTTTCCCGTTCCTCAGTGTGGAGGGTTCCTACGCTTTTAATCCTCCAAGCTTTCCTAATCTTACTGAACCCCAGTCTTCTCTCCATCTTGTTCTTCAGTGAGTCCGTCCATGCTCAAATAACTGCTCTGTGCCCAGCACCCCCACACCTTGGGCTCTGGTCCAGGCCTTTTTGAGTATCTCTTCCTGGGTTCCCCACCTGGATGCCATGCTGCCACCTCAGTCCCAACACAGCCACCACAAAACCCAGTCCTCCACCAGGGCCCCCTAGGGAGCCACCTTCACTCCTTCCGTTGTGACTTGTACTGAACCCTCCAGGGGAAGAATTCTGGGTGTCTCAGACAAGCTCCGTGCAGCCTGCCTCCTCCTGAGAGTGTCTGCAGTGTTGCGGGGCCAGCCTCTCCCATGCCCTCTGCTGCCTCCCCCAGGCTCGGGGGATGACATCCTGTTTGGGCCCCTGCTCTCACTTTCTTCCCAGTACTACCTTGGCTGCCAGGGATACCATCTTTTCCTTTTTCGAATATCACTCAAGCACTTATTTCAAACATTCTGATGAGAGGTATTTTCCTTCAAAAGTGTGGATGTGTAGAATCAAGTGGGTGATTTGATGGATGTCAAAGACACATATTTTTTTGGTCTGTTACTTTGTAAGCTTCCCAACAAAAAAACCCAGTTGAATAAAATTCCTCTAACTCTGACTTTCCTCAGGCCAGAATGGATTTGATTTGACCATCATCTCCTCATCGGGAAGTACAGTGTCTTGATAAACCAGTGTTTTAGCCTTTGTGTTGGAATCTCTAGGCCATGTCCCTCCGGCCTTTCCTCCCCACCCCCTTCCCCCACGAGAAAGACCCACAGATGACTTAGCTGACAAGGGCATTTATTTGACCTGACAGGCATGCTTGGCCAGCTAAGCAGACTCTTGTCTAGTGCTAAGTACTCCCTACAGCCCTTCGTGCCTCTTCTGGGAAGTCAGGAAGAGGAAGAGACGGGGGCTGCAGCCTGGTGCTGCCAGGCCTTGCGGAAATCTGGGACTGACTCCACCCTGAGGGCCTTCCCCTGTCTCCTCCGCCCTCTCTGGCCACTTTGGACCTCTTCCCATTCTTTAGCATCTCTTGGTGGCCCGCCTCACCGTCTGCCTCATGTATCATAAGTCCCTCTTAAAAGGAACCTCATTCCTTTTCCACAGGAAGTGACATTTCAAGTACATTTAAACAACATACTAAGACTTGAAGTAAACTATAAAGATTGCTTTTTCCCTCACAGCCACCTTAGCATTGCATCACATTTTATAGCTGAAAGGAAGGTCAATTTACAAAGGAGAAAACTGAATTCAGTGCCACTTCCCAGACACAAAATGAAAAGTAGGCTCTTTCTCATGTTGGTGATTTTTAGGGAGGTGGGTATTCTTTTCCAGGAAGGGGACTTTATTGGCATAGTCACTAAAATGCCAAAATTGTGTATTTTAGTATGTATTTGTTGAATGACTGACCACTGCTTTTATTTTTTAGATCTGTGGGTCGAATTGTTGAAGCACAGTGTTCAAAGCAGAATGGCAAGAGAGAAGAGTCAAGGGGAAATGGATATGTCATGAAGGGCCTAACATATCAAAAGGTTTAGATTTTGTTCTGTAGGTTTTGGAGATGAGTGAAGGGCTTCTATCAGGTAGTGATGTGGGCACACTTATTTTAGCAATGTTAGTGGCATGTGGCCACTGCTTACTGTTTATCAGGCACTGTGCTGTCACTTTGAATGCATCATCTCATATCTTCACAATCCTGTTGAGTATCATTGTCATCACCTCCATTTTAGAATTGAGGAAACGGGGTCAAGATGGGCAGCCCATGGTGGAGCTGTGATTTTAATTGAAGGAATCTGACCAGAGAAGAGAGAAGGGCACCTACATACTGGGATAAGGGGAGAAGATTGCAGGGGTAGGTGGGACATGGTGGGAGACCCTACTTGGTGGTCTCAACCTGTGTAGTGCCATGAGAGACAGTATTATTGGCTGAGAGGGTTTGGATAGAGGCCTGATAAACATGAGAGTTTGAAGCCTTTGCTTAGGGAAATTTGCAAGGGATCTGACCAAGATCAAGTGAAAATGGAACTCAGCTGAGGTTGGAGACAAGGAATTTATGGTGATACCATCCCGACTGGTTATGGCATTTTTCTCCACAAATTTGACAGTAGTAGAATCTGCCGTGAGAAGTAGTGGATTAAATAAGATACTTGTTTCTTTCCTTCTCACATTACAGTCCAAAGGGAGGAAGGTGGCCCGATCTGGTGGAGTGGCTCATTGTCAAATCACTCAGGCCTGTGTCCCTTCTGTCTTGTTCTGCTGTTCCGTGTGCTGTGCTGACAGAGCTGCATGGCCAAAAGCTGGGTCTCTGCCACCTCAGGGTTTCAGCTCCTGAAAGGGGTACGAGCAGAGGTAGAAAGTAAATACTCTCCTTTTAGGTAAGAGAGAAGTTTGTACACATCACTCTCCATATTTCATTCATGAAAACTTATACACTGAGCTGCAGGGAAGCCTGGGAGATGGGTCTAGATAGGCACTCGTGTTCCCAACTAAAATTATTTTACTATGGAAGAAGAGGAGAATCAATCTGAAGACCAGGTAGCAGTGCTGACTGGGGGGATTGATTTAGGACTGGACATTTTCTGGACAGTTGTGAGGATGGAAGTATGAGTAACTCTAGGCTGTTGCTGGGGTCTGGTTCAGGTGGTCAGCTGTGAGCTCCAGTGTGGCAAGGTAGGTAGGCCCACTGGTTATCAAAGGCCTGGAAGCCCTGAGTCTAGGAGGTTACAGAGTAGATGTGAGACAAAAGGAGAAAATGGTTAGACTTACGGTTAGTGGAGGATATGGGATTGGGTCTACAGGTGGCTTAGTTCTGGGGGATGACAAGACTTCCGGGGAACCGTGGGTTTGGGAAGCTGACATAGTGAGATGGAGGTCTCCAGAGTCGAGGTGGTCACAGAGCAGGATCGGTGTTACTGCACTGCGCTCAGCCTTCCCATCTTAGCACACAGGACCTTTCAGCATCCGGCACCTAGCTCTCCCCCCCCACACTGTCTCTCTTCCTTTCCTCTCTGCCTGATGTACAGTCAGGTCTTACACACGGAGCCTTCCTGTGCCTTCTTGTGTACCCCTCTTCCCGTGATGGCGCCCCATCACCCACTTCCCTATAATCCAGCTGACCGCCTCCCCCCACGCCGACCCAAACACCACTTCATGTGTCTTCTCCCAAGAGGCTGTCCTTGACCTGTAGCCCTTAAAGTCTCTTTGTTTCTGTCTGGCCACCAGCTGGCTTCCTCCTCTGCAACTTAAGCTTACATATGGCCAGTTTGGCCTTTCTGTCTACTTTTTACAAATATCCGCTACTGACAAAGTGGCTTCTTTGCTTAATTTCATATCAGAATTCTGAGACAGACAATCTGATGGACCCGGCTCATTTTATCTTTTCATACCAGACCGTATATCAGCTGCCACCCCCTGGTCACTTGTGCACCAGAGAACAGAATGGACAGATCTGGCTGCTGATCTACTTGCTCCTCATGGTGCAGAGGCACAGGAAGGACTACAACCCCACCATTGCTTTATCTTCTTACCAGGCCTGGAGTATGGGAGGGGTTTTAGGGAGATTCCAGGTGGCCGCTTTTCCTCACCACTGAAGAACAGTATGTTTATGCTGCACCAAAAGGAATTCGTCCGCTGGGTAAGGATTTGGTCATTGGTGTGTTCATTCATCTCAACAGCAGCTTTGCAGGCCCTGGGAATGGAGAAAGCAAGGAGCCATCCCGTCCTTACAGTCTGGTGGTGGAAAGTGGGGAGGTTAGGACACATAACCAGCTAGTAATGGTGCACTATATGTGGAAGGGAAGGCTCTGAAGCTGTGGATACCCCGACAGTTCCAGCCCCAGGGAGCCTTCCCCAGGGCCTGGTAAGACCTATGAAGCCTGAACACTCGAGGGCCTCTCCAGGCATCTGCAGGCACACAGATAATCCTTAGAGGGACTGGTCCTGTGCTCTGAGTGAAACCTGCCGCAGCCAGTGCCCATGGGGTGGGAATGCGCTAGGGCGTGTGTGTGTGCAGTCTGTGGACATGCATGGCCGTCGTTCACCCGAGGGCCATCGCTTCTGTCCTTCAGTTTGGTTTCCCTATTGGCCCCCGTGGTGTGATGACAGTCTACATCTATGAACCTAAATGCGCCCCTGCCCCTCCAAACCCAGTGGTCAGACCACCCTAGTCCATACCCTGGAGTTGAGCCTCAACTGGACAGTAAGGAAGCTACTTGTGGCACCTGCTGGGATCAGGCTGCCTTCCTCCATTTCCCACCTTCCCATTTTTACCAAAAACTTTTTCCAAGCCCAGCCTTCCTATCCAAGAATCTGTCTTGGAAAACAAATACTCCATTTCCCAGAGGTAAAAACCAAAAATGCCCATCTTGTGGAAAGTTGCATCCTACTACGTCAAGGGGGAGTGCTTGTCTCAGGACTGCAAGGAGTCGGGCCAGGCCTTCAGGCACAGACTACCATGGCTGCCCCCAGGGCAGGAGCTGGGAGAAGGGAGGTCAGGCCTGAGCTGGTCCCAGCCATCTGGACTTCCGCAGCCTCCCCAGAGCTGACTGAGAGACTGCAGCCCTGAACCTTTCGGGGAGGTCCCTGCAGAGGCTGGACATGAGAAGGGTCCCGTCTTGCACTCCCATCCAGCCATCCAGAGGCCCTGCCCCCCCTCCGCCCCCTCTTAGGAAAACAGACCTGCTTTCTTCCCTGAGGTTTCCCAGGCTGGGAGAAAACTCTGGCTGTCACACACCCACCTAGTACGCTTCTTCCTTGGATGTCTGCTATTTGAGTAACAGTGTTCAGTGCCAGTCGATGGGAGAGACCAGCCTGAGCCCCTCTCTTTATCTCACCCCCATACCCAATCTACTGCTTCTGAAACATGTCCCTGCATTCCCCACTTTTCAGTTCATCAGCACCCCACTGGGCCAGGCTCCATCACTCCTGCCTAGGTGACTCCAACCTCTCCAGCTCCTGACCAAGGGCCTGGACCATCTCAGTGGACAAGTGTGGGCAGCCTGATTTTCCAGAACCACTGGAGACCCCAATGGCCTGGGCAGGAGTTCCAGAGAGGAAGCATCACCTCCCTCCCCGGGGAGCTGTAGGGGAGGGGAGGAAGCCTCAGGAAGCAGACCGAGGCCAGGGCGGCCGCCCTAGACAGGACTTTCTGGGCTGGGGCTGGGGGCAGTGAGGAGCATTCTCAGAAGAGAAGCCACGGCCGGCTGGGCTCAGGAGAAAGGGCCAACTCCAGCATGACCTCAGGCTCATTTTCTAGGAGGCAGGCCAGGCCGGGGGCCCTCTCAGAAGCTCAACTCTTCTTAGCTCGGCTAACTGCTGTGGTCCAGTGGCTACTACACAGACTGTCTTCGTCGTCCCCTCCCTCACTTTGACCCTCTGTGCGCCCCTCCCCCGCTCGCTGCAGACGCGCTTCTGACTCAGCCCTAGTCAGATCCCCTTTCTCAAGTCCATCCTGGGCTCCTGGGACATCCCTTCCCTTTCTCACTCCCTCTTGCCAGCACTGCTGTCCCCTCCCACGCGGGGTCCCCTAGGACTGGTTTTGCTTGTGGTCTTCATTCCTGTGATTTTCTCGTCTGTGGTGGCTCCCTCCTCTGTCCATGTGAGCTGGGCCGTGACTTCCCTCCACCCTCCATCAGTGTCTCCCCCGCCTGGTGCCATCACGCTGCTTGGAAGAGCGGGCAGGTCATCCACCCTGGTCCCTCTCTCAGCTTGCTCAGGGTGTCAGCACCCTGTTCTTACTCTCTGGGGCTGTTCCCTCTGCAGGACCGACCCCCAGGGCAGGGCTGCCCAATGCAGTGGCCTTCCTCTGCTCTCATTCTCCCACCCCTGCCAGCCGCATCACCCTGCTCAAAACCCTCCTTTCCCTCAACCTGTCTCTCCTAGACCTTTTCTTCCTCTTATCCTCTGCACAGGCTTCATCTCTTTCCCGTTCCTCAGTGTGGAGGGTTCCTACGCTTTTAATCCTCCAAGCTTTCCTAATCTTACTGAACCCCAGTCTTCTCTCCATCTTGTTCTTCAGTGAGTCCGTCCATGCTCAAATAACTGCTCTGTGCCCAGCACCCCCACACCTTGGGCTCTGGTCCAGGCCTTTTTGAGTATCTCTTCCTGGGTTCCCCACCTGGATGCCATGCTGCCACCTCAGTCCCAACACAGCCACCACAAAACCCAGTCCTCCACCAGGGCCCCCTAGGGAGCCACCTTCACTCCTTCCGTTGTGACTTGTACTGAACCCTCCAGGGGAAGAATTCTGGGTGTCTCAGACAAGCTCCGTGCAGCCTGCCTCCTCCTGAGAGTGTCTGCAGTGTTGCGGGGCCAGCCTCTCCCATGCCCTCTGCTGCCTCCCCCAGGCTCGGGGGATGACATCCTGTTTGGGCCCCTGCTCTCACTTTCTTCCCAGTACTACCTTGGCTGCCAGGGATACCATCTTTTCCTTTTTCGAATATCACTCAAGCACTTATTTCAAACATTCTGATGAGAGGTATTTTCCTTCAAAAGTGTGGATGTGTAGAATCAAGTGGGTGATTTGATGGATGTCAAAGACACATATTTTTTTGGTCTGTTACTTTGTAAGCTTCCCAACAAAAAAACCCAGTCCACTCCTTTCTGTGAACTTCATCTAGCATTTAGGGTTTATTAAATATAATGCTTTCTTGGAGCAAAGACTAATTTTACTGTAAGAGTAAATACAAGTAATCCTCCCACTTCCCACTGAGGAATGTAAGCATATGGAATTCATTACTTCACAAGTTTCTACTGGCAGAAAAAAGCTAAATGTATCCAAAAAGCTTGGAGGAAGGTATGCCAGAGACAAGGTTGTTTTCTAAGATACACACTCCTAAAAGAAACACAGAGATAGACCAGGTATTGATCTATGGGGTGAGATAGCCACGTATAGGAAGCCCCCACCAGTGGGTTCACATAAAAACTCCCTACTGGTGGGGGCTCCTTTCCCACTGCTGTGTCCCCATGGCATGGCCTGGTATCTGGCTCATATGTTCATGTTTTCACTATATCATGTATATGCATGTACACAATCCTGCTAGAGTCCCTGAGTTGCTATTCTAGCAGTGGTAAAAACTTCAGCCCAATGGCCCTGACCTCTGGACCCAGACCTGAGACTAAGGGCGCCTGCTGGGGTTGGGCCGCTGCCTGTGGCCATGAGCCACTAAGGAAATGACCCATGACCTAGACATCACCAGTTCCCTGCTCTAATTCGCCAGCACAAATATCACCTAGAATGTCATTCTGAAGAGCTGACACTGTTGGCTGGCCTACCATGAAAGGGAAGCATAGGCCACTGCCAGTGTGACTACATGACAAATGGCCTCCCTCACTCCCTCCTGCCCCAGGAATTAGGTTCCTTTAGATTTCTGTACAGTAAAATTAGAAAGTACACAGTACCTTTGTTACAAATATACTTTCTCCCCTAGGCACAGGATACCAGGAAATGACCTTGAAATTGTTTTTAAAGAGCTAAGGAAAATATATTTTCATAACAAATGGACCTGCTACAGTAAACATTTGATTAACTTCCTGTTGTCTGAGAGAAAATGCAAAGTTGTGGGTAGAGGACTGGAGTTTACTGTTTGATTAATTAAACCCTAATGATGAAAGGGAGAAAAACATATTTTTGAAGGCTAATGTTGCCTTTTTCTATTCTATCTTCCATGTTTCTTAACCTCTAATGTTTTCCCACATTTTGCTTTCTGTACAACACTCTGGGTAACTTTTTGTAACCTGCCTTCTGATTCACCAATTCTTATTTTCAGTTTTGGCTCTTATGCGGCTTAAAAATGTGGATTTAAAGTTCAGTGATGGATGTACTTTTTGTTTCTAAAAGCTTTCCTTTTTCATGTGAAAATATGTCTCTTTTTACCTAGTAGCTGCTTATGTTTTTCATTGCATCTTTTTGTTTCTTTAAATGTATACATACTTTTGTAATAATCTACACCTGTTCATTTCTTGAAGTTCTTTGAAGTCTTTGAAGTCTGCAGCTGCTTGTGCTTTTGTTGACTTTCATTCTGGTAGCTTCTTTACTCATATGGCCCGTAAGTTTGGATTGTATCTTCATGTTCTGCCTGGACTTGTCAAAACCCTGAGGAATGGTAAGACATGAACAAGAAATAATATTGTGGGGGAGTAAAAGTTGTAATTATTTACAGATGATTTCATAATGTACTTAGAAAGTACAGGAGATTCAACTAGCCAGTTAGAACTAATAAAACTATTAGCTAAACTATTAGAACTAATAAAGAAGCAAAAACAAAGGAAAGAGGCCTAGTAAAGAATAACTTACCAAAATCATTAGCCTTCCAATAAGCCAACAATAACCAATCAGGGTACCTTTTTTTTTATGGATCTATAAAAATACCTTTAAAAACAACTAATATATTTAGGAATAAACAGGCCAACAAATGTGCAAGACTTATATGAAAACCTATCAAACATTCTTGAAGTTACTGAACTAATAAAAAGCACACTGAATAAATAGAGATGTCAACTGTGTTCCTGTATACAAAGATCCAAAATTATAAACAAGTCAGTTCTTCCTAAATGAACAAATGTACTCAATGCAGTTATAAACGATGGTTTTTAAAATGAACTTGGCAGGGACTTCCAGTTTCCAGTTCCACATGTGAGGAGCTTGGAAGTTGCAACTCCATCTTAATCACCAGTAAAAAAGCTGAACAGACTGAAAAATCATCAACTTTTTTTGGATCTATAAGAGACATGAGGGCTCAGGGCAAACTATTGAAGCCGGGATTGGAGAGACAGGCAAATGCAGGCCTTCAGGGCTTACCAGAGCAGAGATTCATGAACAGAAACCACTGTGGGAACTAATGGCAGGGTAGAAAAACCTGAGCTATAATTGACAAATTTCTGGAGGGACAGTGTGGACAAGTATGAGAGTTAAAAACTCCAGGAACAGAGTCCTAGGAAGGCCCCCATACTTTTATGAGTTTTTACCTCCAGGAGCTTGGCTAGTTTCTCCCATTAAATATCAGAGAAAAATCCCTTCATGCCTACAGCAGGGAGGTGGGGGAAAGGAACTATTTTTAAACACACCAGAGCACTCTGTTCCTCCTAAGAGGTCCTGCTCTCAGGGCAAACCAGTCAACCAGAGACCAACATGCTGGGGTGTTTTCAGAGCCTAACTGACCTGGGGCAAGGGAAATATCCAACTCCAGTCAACTCTAGCGTTCCATGTGGGAGAAGAGAAATTCTCAGCTCTAGCCCCCTCTGGCCAGCCTGTCCCCCACCTAATGGGGACCAGGGGAGAGAAAATCTGAGAAATGTGTGAAGATCACACAGTCCAGAGGCACAGGTTCCATAAAGGATTGAAACCTAATCATAGAACTGCAGAACACTTCCCTTCCCCACCCCACCTTACCGCCCCGTTCCTGAGTGCTCATCTGCAGCAGCTCCTTTTACCCAGTACGTCACATCCAGATATCAAGAAAAAAGTACAAGACATATAAGAGGCAAAAGCAAGAAGAGACAGAGCGAGCATGTCACAACCAGACCCGGGAAGGATATTGGAATGATCAGGCCAGGACTTTAAAAGAACTATGATTAATATGCTGAGAGCTCTAATGGATAACGTAGATGGAATGCAAAAACAAATGGGCAATGTGAGCACAGGAAGACATGCCAGAGCTCAAAAAACACTGTGAGAGAAATGATGAATTCCTTTGATAGGCTTATTAGTAGACTAAAACAGCTGAGGAAATAATCTCTTGGGTTTGAGAATATATCAATAGAAACCTAAAAAAAAAAGAATAATATCCAAGGATTGTGCAACAATTACAAAAGGTGTGACATACTCATAATGGGAATATCAGGAGGAGTAAGAGACACAGGAACAGAAGAAGTACTTGAAATAACAATGACTGAGAACTTCCCCAAATTAATGTCATATCAAATCACAGATCTAGGAAGCTCAGAACATCAAGCAGGGTAAAGGAAAAAAAAAAAAACAGAAAAAAACAACAAAAACTATACCTATGCCTATCAAAGTAGAGAAAATCAAAGATAAAAAAAAAAATCCTGCCAGAAGGTAAAAACATCTTACCTATAGAGGATCAGGGATAAGAATTACAGCTGACTTCTTTGAAAGCAAGCAAAGGGAGAGTGGAGTGAGATTAAAGTGTTGAGAGAAAAAACCAACCAACCTAGAATTCTGTACCCTGTGAAATTATCCTTCAAGAGTGAAAGAAAAATGAAGAATTTCTCAAATAAAAAATAAAGGAATTTGCTGTCAATTAACCTGCCCTGCAAGATATTTTAAAAAATTCTTTAGAGAGAATGAAAACAGTATAGGCAAAAAACTCAGCTCTATGTAAAAGAAGAGCATTCAAGAAGGAATAAATGAGTATAAAATAAAACAAACCTGGCAAGCTTATTGTAAAAGTTATCTGGAGGAGAAAATATACAAGAATATTTTGAAAAAGCTATACAGTGACAGTGATAGTAGTGGTAATGGTGGTGGGGACTTGCCAAGGATTTGAAAACTGTCACTGGGGTAGAACAAAGAAGCCAGAAATGGCACATTTACATGGTGAGAATGGAGAAAGGATTTAAAAGAGATTTTTTTTAAGATGGTGTCATGCCAATGGGTTTCAGCCCCAGGCAAATTCGCTATGGATTTAATGTGACCAAAGAAATTGACAGCAAAACATTCTTTGGGGTGAAAAGATTTATTACCCGGCTTGTTCTCCCGGCGGTAGGTCAAGTACTAGCGTCTCTGCCTCTGCCCAGAGCACTGGGCCGAGCTCTCTATATAGCGCAATAATAGCTTATTGCCTAAAGGTGTGGAAGCGGTAGCCTAGCAACAGGCCAGTTACATCATCGGGTGGTTTAAGTTCAGTGAGGATCCTGGCCATAGGAACCCCAACGTCCCCACAGATGGCAAAACACTACTCAAATATTGGCATTGAAAACTTATCTACTTGGAGAAAAATAAAGTCAGAAAGTGTCTTGCCTGAGGGTTTCAGCCCCAGACAAGTTCACTATGGATGCAGTGAGACAAGGAAACGACAACGGAACGTTCTTGGGGTAAAAGGATTTATACCTGGCTTTATTCTCACAGCAGTAGATTGAGCACTAGAATCATATCTGCATCCAGCAGTCTGCAGGTCCATAATCCACCTCTGTCCCCACCCCCACCCAGAGCCCTGGGCAGAGCTCTTTATATAGTGATTCAGTCAGTAATAGTTTATTGCCTATGGGTGTAGAAGCAGTAGCCTAGCAGAAGGCTGATTACATCATCAAGTAGTTTAGGGTCAGGTGAGGATCCTGGCCATAGGAACTTCCATTTCCCCACAGAAAGTTATCTTACAACTTTCTCAATAATTAATGTTAATCTTATGCTTCAAAAAAGTTTTTAAATTATTCACTAGGTTAAGAGATGGTAACAGACTAGCAGAAAAAATGTGTAACATGTATAATAAACAAAAATGGATTTTTAGGTTATAGAAAACATTGCAGATCAATAGTAAAGGATAGCCTAATAGGAAAGAAAACTAGACAAAGAATATCAGTAGAAAATTTACAGAGAACGTAAAATGGTCAACAAACAAAAAAGAGGTCACCCTACATGAAGTCAGGGAGATGCAGTGAAATGCAACAAGAAAGAAAATTTGTTTTTAATTTTTATCAAGAATTAAACCCACTTATAATATTAAATGATGAGGGAAATTGGTACCTTCATATACTGTTGGTAGGACTGAAACTTAGTAGCATTATTTGTAATTATAAAAAAACAAAACAAAAGGCAGGTGAAGTATGGATACTATGTAGTAATTAAATCTGGAAGAACTGGCAGTGAGAGAACTTCCTGTTAAATACAAAAACTTAAGTTGCAAAACTATGAACAATAAGATGAACGTTATGGAAAACAACTATAAAGGAGACTGTCCTGATACAGAGAAAGGTTTGGAAGGATGAACGTCAAACACGCAGTGACCAGGGTAGTGAGAGTTACTCAGTGCTTGCTTTGTGCTGTGACATGTCACGGATTCTTTATGGGTATGTGATCTGTTCTTCCCAGCAACTCTGAGGGGATGAAATTCTTCAGTTCAAGGACATTTTCTGAAATTATATATTTGATTGTATACTCCCCAAAGTCTCTGTTTTCCCTTTGTATAACTCTTCCTATATTGATTCTTTCAGTCTTTTAATTTTCTCTCATGTTTCTCACCTCCTTGGCTTTTTGTTCTGTCTTAGGTCTGTGTTTCTCAAACTTGAGGCGCATCCCAGTCTCCTGGAAGGCTGTGAGCACAGATTGCTGGCCCCCATCCCCTGGTGTTTGACCTAGTCTGGGCTGGAACACAGAAGTTTTCATTTTAAAAAGTTCCTGGGTGCTGCTGCAGCTGGTAGGGGATCACATTTTGAGAAGCACTATTCTCAAGTATTTCTTTCACATCTTTGACAATTTACATTTTCAATTTCCAAGAACATTGTACTGTTTTCTATTTCCTCTTCTTCAATGGCTTTTTATCCCTCTTTGTCTATGGGAAAAAAACCTAGAACCTCACTGAGAATACTAATCTATTCTTTTAAGTTATTTCCTATTCCCTGCACTATATTTTTCTTTGGTTCATTGTTTTGCTCATCTATTTATCTTGGTTCTTTTTTCAAAACTGTTATTTTTACTCAAAGGTCTTGGGATCCTTGGTGTCTTGCCAGTGGGTTTCAGCCCTGGGCAAGTTCGCTATGGATTCAACGTGATCAAAGAAAATGACAGTAAAACGTTCTTGGGGTGAAAGGGTTATACCCAACTTTATTTCCAGGTGGCAGGTCAGTCACTAGAATCCTGTTCACTCAGAGCGGGTCTGCATGCAGCAAGCCAGTCTCTGCCTCTGGGCCCCTCTGTCCACACAGCCGCCCTCTGGGCCTCTGTCCTCGGCGTTGCCACCACTCCAGCCTCTGCTCTGTTCTCCTGCAGCCTTGCAGCTCTGCCACCTTGTCGTGCCCAGAGTACTGGGCAGAGCTCTTTATATAGAGTCAACAGCCATGTATTGCCCACAGGTGTGCAGTGAGCTAGTCAACCAGGGCCAGGTGAGAATCCTGGCCACAGGAACTCTCATTTTATCCACACTTAGCTATTCATTTGTGTCTGCGAATGAAAGATTTGTGGTTTAATATAGTTGGCTGGGGTTGATCTTCTCTACCATTATATGGATTTACTTCTTCAACAGCACTTTCTTCCAAGTAGGAGCCTTAAGCATGTTGACCTGCAAGATTCCATTTAGAGGCCATGGCCCGGCCCCCCCAGTCCCCACAATAAAATGAGGAAGCCTTTTCTTGAGATGTCAACACAGGCAGCAGGAGCGCCAGCCGCGCCCAGAGAGCCCAGCCCCTTTTCGGCACACCCTCTGGTTCTGCCTGGGACAGACTCCATCTCGGCCTATCGTTCTGGCTGCACAGGACAGAGCCAAGCTAGGGCGGAGCTAGGGCGCCTTGGCCCCGCCCGTGAGGAGCGGAGCCAGACGGGAGGGCAGCCGGCCGGCCCTGGCCTTACTCCCTCCTCTGGCCCCTGCTGGGGCGGGAGATGTGGGAAGCGGCTGGTTCCCGCCCGCTTTGCTCTCTGCACTCTCGGGGGCCCTGTCTGTGCGGGCGGGCTCGCCGTCCACCTCCTCTCCTTCGCGGACCTGCTGTCTCCGGCTCTCCTCTCCCCCCTCCATGCCCTGCCTTGTTCCTGCTCTCTCCCCGTGCCTCTCCCCTTTCTCACTTACTGCAGATAATGCCCACCTCCGCAGGTTCTCATCACCATTTGGAAAGGACCGTTCCACTCCGCCCTTCCTCTTCCTTTCTGTTATTCGGCAAACACCCCTTCAGAGCGTGCTGGTGGGTGTCGGAGGATGGCAGGAACTCCCAAACACAAGCTCTAAGAGGGGGCGGCATGAGGAGGGCCCCAGCTTCAGCATGGGGGGTGTTAGCAAGTCTCCCCAGGGGCTGAGTTTTGAGGAAGAATGGAGTTGCTCAGGGGAAGGGGATATGGGAGGAGGCGTCAGGAAAAAGAGAGCATTGTCTGCAAAGTCCTAGAGATCCACCACAGGGCCGCACATTCAGGAAGTGACCCCCTCTGCCTCTCATCCCCCTTACCTGGGTTATTGACAGGATTCAGTGTGATGGTTTCTAATAGCGCTGCCATCCTTCTCTGTGGAAGCAACCCAAGTGCCCAGTGGAGTGAGCTCTGGGAATGTGGAAGTCTGTTCCTAAGGGTTCTGGGAATTGTGTCTACTGTTTTACCTAAAAATGAGGAAGTTTGCTTTTACTTTATGTCTGCACTTAACATAAAAATTGTTCCATTACCTAACTTTACCCTTATCACAAATCTATGAGCAAAAACTGATGTCAGAATGCCCTGGGCACAAGGTCCTAGGGCAGGGACACAGGATCCTGGGGTGTGGACAGCTCAGTCTAGGAAGCTGAGTGGTTGAAGAGCCTTGGTAACCCATAAAGCACCACATGCATGCTGCTAACTGTTTATTGCTGCAACCCCAAAGAGAGAAGGTGTGAGGAAGAGACTTACCAGGTCTTGACTGAGAAGTGGAACAGGTGCCCAGATGGGTGAATCAGTGAGGCTTCCTAGGGAGGTGAGGCCAGACCTTAAGAGATGGTGCAGGTGTCTTACTGCCCACCAGGATCCCCAGCCCTCCCCAGAGCTGCTCACGGCCTTGCTGCTCTGAGTCTGCAGGGTGACGTGGCGGTCCCAGTTCCTGGCCAGGGGAGTGTTTCATATCGGCCAGCCACCAAGCTCTGGGACTGAACCCATGTTGCTCCTTCCAGCCGCAGCAGCGTGCTCAGGCGGGACAGGCAGGCTTGTCAGGGGCGTGCTTAGGTGGGCCAGGAGAGCTGGCTCTGGGTGGCTCTTGGTGACAGGAGACTGATCTCAGTTAGCATGAAGGTACACTTGCCCACAGGGATAATGACCTTGTGGGGCAGGACTCAGTCAGACCGTAGGATCTCCAGCTGGCTTCCTTCCAGGCCCTTTGGGCTGTGAGGTCAGTGACTCATGGTGAGACACCGAAGAGGAACCAGGTATTTTTTTCTTCCCCAGGTAAGTGCCTTATGACCTAGTGCAAAACATTCCTTTCTTTCTTCAGATCTTTCTGCAAGCCGCCTGGCTGAGAGAGTGGGGCTCCCGGCTTCAGGAAAGTACAGATTAGAAGGCTGTGGACCATGCAAGGAGAGGGATGCCATAGGAAATCGCGGCCAGTGTGAGCAATGGTGGGGCCTGGAGTGAGACGGAGTCCAAGGGGAGGCATGAGAAGTGAGCGTCTGCAGGACACAGGGTTACTGGATGAGGGAGCTGATTGGATTGGAGAAGCAGAGTATTGAAAAATGTCTCTTGCTCGTCTACTCTTGCTCAGATGGGTTGCATAGTAATCCTGAGAACAGTGTATATCAGTCCCACTTTCATGTTCTTCCAAGACCCCATTAGAATGACTGACTGCAGTGAACAAGTTGCTCATTTATTTGGAATCAAACTTCCCATCCTGTGCTTGACTCCCTGGCACTAGCAGAAGGGTGTCAGTCTCTCTGGGCTTCTTTGTCCCAGCTGTTGTGGATTTGATAGGCCCAGCTACATTCTTTCCATAAAGGATCAAAAAGTTTTCCATCACAATCAATGCAACTACCACCAACCACCACCACCCTCACTGGCCTCCACTGCCATTACCTGCCTCCTTCCCTACCATCTTTGTTACCACCCACCATCCACATTGTCTCCTCCACTATCACTATTAGCCATCACCATTATCAGTTCTACCACCACCACCACTACCCACTCTCCCCCTTCCATCCTCAGGACCAGGAGCGGCTTCACAATATCACCGCCCTCCCCACCATCATCACGACCATTCATTGAGTGCTCATTACATCCTTTATTCTGAGAAGCCCCTTCTGACCGATGCCTCAGTTGGTTTTCCTCTGTTCACCTACCTGTCTAGAATTCTCTGCCTCCTATTGGTCCAGGTCCTTGCCAAGAACCCCACATTTGTCCCTTGCTTCTAAAACTAGGAAACCTCTATCAGAGTGTTTGTTTCCCTTCACTTTTAGGAAGAGAGAAGAATGTCCCAAAGGCATGACAAGTTGCTTATTTGATTGGTTTAAAATGCATAACAACTGGTTCCACTGGTTTCTTTACAAATTGCCCTAGCTAAAGGAACCATAGCCATCTCTTCTCTCATTAAATTTCAATTAGCAACAATCGTTAACTCATCACACGGTTCTGAGCAGGAGTCTTGCACAGAGAACAAATTGGTTTTAACCAGTTAATAAAAGGCTGCCCTTGCCCTGCCTGTTTGCCCCTGTGAAGGGCCCTTCTCAGTGTCTGGGGCAAAGGAGGAGGGAAACATCCCCAGTGTCCATGTCAGGGCGCCTTCTGTGCTCTTCATGGAGGCTGATTCACAGCCCTTCGGCAGAATCCACGGGAGAGAATTTCAGTCTCCACACCTTGGCCTTCAGATGTGTCCAGGAACTGGGCCAGTTCCTTGAAGTGCTGTTTACATTTGAATTTGCATTAGTGTGGGATAATGTTGCCCTGCAGTTAAGGCAGACTGGCTGCAAGCCAATGAGTTACTCCAGCATGGCCTTGATATTTCCCGTCATAGCTTATCACTGTTTATTTGTTTAGTGCGTTTTCTGTTCTGCAACTTGATCTTTGCATATTCTGTGCATTGGGAATCTTTCTGTCTCATTGGTCTTAGAAAACTTTTACATCTCAGCTGGTCAGGTGGGGGTGTACTGGGGTCCCATTGTGATGATTATCAATGAGGCTGAACACCTTTCTGTCTCTTTATTGTTCTTTGGATATCCTCTTTTAAATACCTCTTCACCCCTTTTGCTCATTTTTCTGTTGTCTTTTTTCTTTATGAATTATAGGAATTCTTTATATATCAGAAATACAACCCTTTATCAGTTACATATATTACAAATATTTTCTCCCACTCTGTGCTCGCCTTTTCACTGCCTTGATGGCGTCTTTGGTGAACAAATTCTTTTCCTTTATACAGTCAAATTTATCAGTTTTTGTCTTTGTGGTAGTTGTTTTTGTGCCTTGTTTTAAAATAAAATCTTTATCCTGCAGTTAGAAGATATTCCTCTATTTTTATCTTCTAAAATCTTTATTGTAGTGCACTTTACATTTTAAGTCCATAGTCCTCCTGAAATTGACTTTTGTGCACGGTTTGATATAGGAGTTAAGTTTTGTTTGTATTTCATATGGATATTTTACAGTCCCAGGATGATTCATCAGAAAGGCCACCTATTCTCCATTGACCTGGAGTGCTGACACTGTTCTGAATACAGTCCACTCGAGGTGCTGTACTCATACCGTCTGTGCTGCCATCACTTTGTAGTGGCTTCATTCTGGTAGGGCAGGCTTCCTACTCTGTTTTTCTTTAAGAGATCTTAGCTCACAGCCCTTTATATTTCTGAATATATTTTAGAATCAGCTTGTCACATTTCATTAAATAAATAAATAAATACCTATTATACATTTTTATTGGGAATACGTGAATCTAGAGATCAAATTAGGTCATCCTCCCAAGTATTTCTTCTGTTTCTTTTCCTTCTGGCATTCCTATTTGCACGTGTGTTACACCCTTTGTAATTGTCCCACAGTTCTTGGATATTGTTTCTTTATTTTCTTCACTTTTTCTCTTTGCTTTTCAGTTTACCAAGTTTGTATTAACATATTTTCAAGCTCACTGATGCTTTCCTCAGTCATGTCCATTCTACTAATGAACCCATGAAAGGTATTCTTCATTTCTGTTAGTGTTTGTTTATTTCTAGTATTCCCTTTTGATTCTATCTTAGAGTTTCCATCTCTCTGCTTACATTACCCATCTGTTCTTACATGTTGTCCATCTTTTTCCATTAGAACTCCCTTTTTTTTTTTTATTAGGGTATCATTGATATACAGTCTTATGCTCAGGTTTTACATAGACAACATTGTGGTGACTAGACATGAGCTATTATACTAGACACTATTATCAAGTCCCCCCCACATACCCCATTACAGTCACTGTCCATCAGCATAGTAAGATGCCATAGTCACTACTTGTCTTCTCTGTGCTATACTGCCTTCCCTGTGCCCCACCCCCATATTATGGTCTCTGCATATTTATTAATCATAGTTATTTTAAATTTTCAATCAGATAATTCCAAAATCCTTGCCATAATGTGAGTCTTGTTCTGATGTTTTCTGTCTCTTCAGACTGTGTTTTTTGCCTTTTAGCATGTCTTAGAATTGTTTGTTGAAAGCCGGACATGATGTATTATGTAAAACGAACTGTGGGCTTTTGCTTCCTGGCTAGGAATTAGGCCATGTTTACTGCTTGCTGTAGCTGTGTTGTCAGAGGCTGAAATTTCCTCTAGTGTTCTTTTGTTTCCCCTGTTGTCTTGGGTTTCCCTAAAGACTCTTTCTTCAATAGGATCGGAGGCTTGCAGTCTTTGAGCGGTAATCCCTGTTATTGGACAGTAGTGTATGTTTTGATGGGTCGTAAGGTGTGAGTGGAGGGAGAGTACCCTGTAATCCCATGATTAGGTCTCAGTCATTTAGTTAACCCGTGCCCCTGGGCTTCACAAGTGCTTCTTAGCTCCCTTGCCTCTTAAGACAGGAAGGCTAGAGGGGACTGGAATTGGGTATTTTCCTTTCTCCAGGTTGGTTAGGCTTTGGAAAACTCAAGTCAGGTTTTGGTAACATAGCTTCCCTTGAGGGTAGTGATATAAAGAACAGAGAGCTCTGAGCATATTTTAGAATGGTTACTTTCCCCCTTCCTCCCCTCCCCCACCAGCAGAAGCACAAGGGGAACCTTTTCCAATCTTCATCCTATTGGGCTCCTGGAGGTAAATGCATAAAAGGGCTAGAGATCTCCAGGACAGCCCAATCCAGAGTTTTTAGCCCTCAAGCTTGTTTGTGCCGAGCGTCCAGCAATTTGTCACTTAAAGTTTAAGTGTTCCTGTTGTACTTGCTCCAGGAGTGGGCTTCTGACCCCAGGATTCTCTTGGTAAGCCGTGGTTCTCTGTATCCATCTGTTTTCCCAGTTTTCAGGGCAGCAGTTTGCCCTGTGACCTCAGTTCCGTGGATCCAAGAAAAGTTGTTGATTTTCAATTGTGTCTATAGTTGTTAGGTTCAAACATGTCCATTGAATCAAGTTTGTGAATTGCATTGCTCAAATCAGCTAAGAAATACTGCTGATTTTAGTATTGTTCTATCAGTTACAGTTAGACACATGTTAAAGCTGGCTAAGCTGTCTTTCAGTTAATGTTTACATGATATTATTTCCTTCCTTCTTTTTACTTTAAACCTTTCTGCCTCTTTATAACCTATAGCTTGTAATAACATCAGTTGTGTTTTGATTTTATGTAGTCTGACAATTAATTGCTAATATATTTCAATTTAATTCACACCTGTTTGCTTGTTATAATTCTTATGGGTCCCGCACTGCTTTCTAATTTTTGAGTGGGTATATGTTTTAATAATTTCATTCCCCCTCAACTAGCTTTTAAGTGTACATTCTTTTATTCTGTTAGTAATTACCCAGGAAATAATAATAATTATCTATGATTTACCAAAGATCAATGTTAATGCCTTTACCCACTTCCTAGACAATGAAATGATCTGAGAACACTTGAATTCTGTGTATTCCTTTCTCACTGTTATCTAATACATAGTCTGCTCTACTACAGTATGTTTCTTTGATAAAGATTATTTTATCTATGATTGATAAACAATGATATCAGTATAACTCATAAATTCTGCTAGTTTGTGTGTGATTTTCTCCAGTATGTTAGTGTTCTGAAACTATGAGAGGCAAGATTTCTTAAAATTAAAGACAAAGGATCTAGAGGCGGAGCCAGGATGGCGGCGTGAGTAGAGCAGTGGAAATCTCCCCCCAAAAACACATAGAGCTATGAA